CATTGTTTGAACCTTGACCTCATGCCCTGGGCTGTGCTAACCTGGGGGCTACTGAGGCACAGCTGTGGGGCCCAGAGGCCTGCAGGAGCCCCCCTCATCAGCCTGCCCATCTGCGCAGGCAGCAGGAACATAAGAAAAGGAATACTTAGAATTTAGGGGAAGTGAAAGGTTGGGACCATGTCCTTGGGGTGGGAGAGGGATCTGTCTCCAGAAAGCCACCAGTTTTCAGGTTTATTGATACCAGTTTTCCTTCACCACAAATTTTCACATTGTCTCTGATGTCCCAAGTACACCGCTGATTTTGAAAATGTGAATTATTCCCCCAGCTGTTTGATAAATTCTGCTGCAACACAGGTCATCTTAAGGATGCTCTGGGAGTTTCTCTTGGGGGAAGACGTAGTTCTGCAGATCAATTGCCTCATCCCCCCTGACAGCTGAGATAAATGTAACTCTTTGAGGCGTTGCCTGCGTTGCTCAGCAGGTTAGTTTACCTGCTGGACTGGGTGCTGGAGGCAAGCTTCATGTCTGTGTGAGACTGGGACATTTCCTGGCGTTGACGCCTGTACCTTTCCTCGGTTGTTGATGTGTACCAGAAGGAAGCATGTAATCGCCACCTGTCGTATCATCCTTACACCTGAGATACCTTACCAAAAATATTAAATAGTCTGTAAAGCTTAGTGTTAATTTCTAAAAGGCAATAGCATTGTAGTACTTGAGGTTTCTACTCTAGAAGCCCCACAGCCTTCTAGAACTTTGATGACAAATTTGTCCATAGAATTATCTTCTTATAGGATTAAAAGTTTTCAAGCCTAATAATAAATATTTTTTGAAAACATATATACAGTTCAAACATAAAATAACATAATGAGACAGCTGGGTTTTCAAACTATTCCCCGGCAAAGTTTGAGTTCCCGTGGAGCTGGGATAGCGCCAGACTGGAGTCGGGATCCCAAGCTCCTGTTCCAGCGCTACCTTCAATGGGTGTTGTGACTTTGGTTCCTGGCACCCAGTTTCTTCATTTACTTGTGAAAAGAATGGTACAAAATTGTCCAAAGTCCCTGCTTAAAAATTTAGCAACTGTTTTTCTGTCATTTCTCCATAGACAGACTTGGTTGTTAAGGTTATTGGATCAAAAAGAGATGAAGTCTGCTTCCAGTTGAGAACAGCCTCTGCATGACATAAAAATGGCGCCCACAAGAACAGAACTGTTTTGATGTCAGAAGACAGTATCTATTGAACAGCATTACTTTCCTGAGTTGGGTAGGATTGCCCTAAAATGACTCGCAAAGGCAGGCGAGACGCAGCACACATCAGTCATCCCCGTGGCCCCACTGCGGTTCGGCAGCTCTAGTGCTGCCTGCGCAGACACTTGGAGCTACAACTTAAGCATTTGAAAATTGAGGAAAAGTGATTAAATTGGCATTGAAGAACCCTCATTGCCATCTGTCATGAAAATAGACCTTTCTCTCAAATCATTTTAAAGTTTGCTTTCTTCTGAATGCTCTTGGATAAGAGGCTGTTGAGGCTAGTTACTGGAAACATGCCAGGCTCTGCTTCTGTTTCATTAGCTCTATGTGTTATTTGTGTAAATAGTTAGCAATTAGATTTCATCGGCCTAGAAAAACCTCCCTGTTTTTCATGTAAACTGGCAATTGATAGGTGGTTTTTCCCCAGTAGTTTCTAGAATAGACTCACTAAGAGGTGTATGTCATTTTTTTTTTTTTTTGAGAGATAGGGTAAGACATTAAAAATAGTTCCAGGTTCCCAATATACAGGGTTATGCTAAATTAAACCTCCACTTAAAAATGAGGAAATCAATTTTCTGTAAATCATCAGTTATACTTTCTTTTCTTTTTTTTTAAGACAGAGTCTCACTCTGTCGCCCAGGCTGAAGTGCAGTGGCACCGTGTCGGCTCACTGCAACCTTTGTCTCCTGGGTTCAAGCAGTTCTCCTGCCTCAGCCTCCCCAGTAGCTGCGATTACAGGTGCCCACTACCACGCCTGGCCAATTTTTGTATTTTTTAGTAGAGATGGAGTTTCACCATGTTGGCCAGACTGGTCTCGATCTCCTGACCTCAGGTGATCCGCCTGCCTCTGCCTCCCAAAGTGCTGGGAATACAGGTGTGAGCCACTGCACCCAGCCACCAGTTATATTTTCTTGGTGATTAGGACATACATCGTAGGAGCAAAAGAATAAAGCCAGTCCAAAGAAAGTGCATGTGACTTGACCTCAGAACCGAAATGGCAGTGACTGTAAAGAAAATAGGGAATGATAGTGGTGGCTGGTTTGGGGGCTGCTTTGCAGAGAGCCCAGATGTGACAGTGTTGATGGTAACCCTAGCTGTAGTGAGCAGCTGCTTGTGCACCGTGCTCGTGTTGTTATTGATTTGGCAAAACAAATGCGTGTAATGTGGGAGAGCTGCTAACCTGACCCAGGAATTTGACTCATTTTTATTTAAATGTCAGTTTGAGGCAGGTGTAGGGTAGGATCCAGTAATGTCATTAAGGGTCACCCTACTATTTTAATCAGCAGCCCCTTATCTAATGTATTCCTAAAATTCTGTGTGTAAATTGAATTTGAATAACTCGAATTGTATTTAAATGCACTGGCAAATTTGTTATTTAAATGAAGCTGCCCTGCTGGTCCTGGGTGTGCTTGGGCTGGAGAGAGGAAGTCTTAGCAGGGACATGATCTTCCTGTCTTCACAGATTTGAAGAGCTGTCTCCTGAAGGAGGGTGAGACTCATTCTGGGTCTGCAAAAGGCACAGCTAGGGCCAGGGGTTGGGTGGCGGAATTCAGCCAGGGGAGGGAGCACTCCCTAACGCCTGCTGTGAGAGGGCACGTGTCTGCTGCTCCGGAGGTGAGGCAGCCACTGGGGTGTCTGGACCACTCAGACCTGGTTCCAGGCGTGGGATCCTGGGCCAGTTAGGAGCTTCCGTCACCTCCTTCAGGGAGCCTCACGCTCTCCACCTCAGTAGTGCTGGGTGTGTTGAAAAACTGGGTGCTGCACCTGCGCATGTTAAACAGCCAGTGAATGCTTGTGATGACCATCTTCTAAGCCAGAGCCACTCCCGGGAGGCAGGAGATGTTCCTAGGACTGGGGATGGCAAAATCATCCATGCTGTGCCAGCAAGCAGCGGGCGTCATCTGTCCATTGGTTTGGGAACCTCAGCCCTGGACCTAGCAACAGTTGTGTTCTTAGTGGAACACAGATTCTGTGGGTAATTCAGAGACTCAAGAAGCCCTGCCCTCGAGGCACCGAGGCAGACTTCTGAACAGTAGGCGTGGCAGAGCGTGCCAGGCTGCGTGAGCGGGTGGACATATGCTTTGGCGCTGGAGATGGTGGCATGTGGCTGGGCTTAGGGCTCCGTTGGTGAGATATGGAGGTGGGGTGAGCCCTTGAGGGTAAGGAGGGAGGCAGGGAAGAGCCAGCCATGCACAGGAGGGACTGAGAAGTTCAGGCTTCTGGGGGGCAGTCCTGTGAAGATGCTGGTTACTGGTTCCTGACCGCCGTGCTGGCACCCGGCTGCCTGCAGGGAGAGCATGCGTGCAGTTGTGCAGATCTCATAATGGATGGACTTCAGGAGGGCGCCTCCTGGTGATTGCCACTCCCTTCACAGATGCCACCCTCGGTAGATCCCTTAGAAACAAGGTGAAAGGGTTGGGGAGCCCCCGTGTGTGGACTCAGGAGCAGTTTATGGAGTTGGGAATCCTAACTCAGGTCATCACACCACCGTCCATCAGCTCTTGGTCTTTATTTAAACAGCCTTGTGATACCTTCTCACTTCTGGGCAGCTTTTCTTGGCCCAAATGCAGGTGTCTCTGTGCACGCACATGTGTGTCACCTATTTCTATATAAACCTACTTTGTATATATGAGCACATACATACACACATATGAATACATATATACGTGTGTGTATAGAAAACTTTCCCCAAACTCATATTCTTCCCCTTTGGGCAACAGAGAAGCTCCTCAACATGGGTCAGGTGAAACTTGACATGAAAATGAACTTGGAAATGCTGGTGCTGGTGAGGCCCTGTGTGGCCCTGCCTGGCTGTTTG